GATCCTCCTGTAGGATAAAGTCTGGGTAAAAAGATTTATCGCCAACTTGGCAAGCTTGGTGTGTGCGATGAGCAAGTGTGAAAATATTTATGCCCGTACTTGAAAATACGTTTTAGGAAATTATCAAGAAGCTTTGGATGATGCTACAGTTTCTGTGCAGTTCGAACCAACTTTCATAAAAGCCATAGAAAACGGTAGGTTCTTTGCATTTCCTAAGTTATGCAGAAGTTTTTTTCGTTTTCCTACAACGTATAAAGTTTGTACTTCAGGCTTATTGACCATGCAGGCAAAAGCCTCCAGACAAGCATGGCCCTTCCTCCAAATGTAAATTGAAATTTTCAGCGCGAGTAAATTTTTCAAAGGCTAACCAAATATCATGAGCCTGTAGTGCGAAAGAGATCTGTAGTCCTTAAAAATTTATAAGGGCCAATTTATGCCAAACTGCACGAGAAAGGTCATGTGATTACTAATTAATTATGTATAAGCAAAAATACGTCTATGTTTTCCTCTTAAGTTGTTTTTATTTCGAGTCATGGCTCTCTGTTTGGGCCGCTTGCCTCTACTTTGTCGCCGGAGTAGGCGAGATTTTGCCTTAAAAAACTTGCTTCAATCTTTTAAACTCTCTATTACTAATAATCAAGCGTTTGCACTCTTTCTCTGTTTGGTATTAGTCGACTGTAGTAACCATTACACGAAAGCTGTACCGCTCGTAATCATCCCCGTCTTACGTACTAACTGTTGCCTCGGGCATCGGGTTCACACTTTACATAGCCCTTTTGGGAAGCCCAAGACTTCCAGACTTTTATCCAGTTGTTTGTCCTTTGCAGGATGTTTTTGGTTTTTTGGCATTCTCCCTCAAACTGTGAATTAAAACGTGGTAACTTTCTCCTCACCTTTCCTCTATGCTGTTTTTCGTTCTTTCGCGACTTACCTCTCATCAATTTAACTTCAACTTTCTATACTCAAATTCAAATTTTTTTGCAGCTGCTGTCTCCTATAGAATAGTGATGATAAGTAACAATAGAATTCCGATCTTGACCCGATATTTCCCGATGCTACCTATTATTATTATTATTTTTTTTTTTTTTTAGAGTATCCTATTAGCTCGACATTCGCTGCACTCGATACACATTTGAGTTGCCTCCTCTTTTGATTTCTGGCTCATAGCTACTAGCGCAATATGTTTTCAGTTCTTGTCGTGACACTCCAAAAGACAATAAACATCTCAAAATAATTTCGATCTCGTCGACGCGTAATTTTAATTACCGAACAAAAAAACCCTTTTTGTTGCAGAAATATCTAAATAGGTGTGATCTGCACATCATGGAAATTTTGAGGACAATTTTTTTCATCGAAGAGAGAGCATTTTATAATTTGAATTAGCAACGTCTACCCAAAAGGACTGCTAAATTTGCGAAGCGAGCAAGGTGCTAAATACACTAGCTTGAGTTATTGGATGAAAATAAAGGAACGGTGGAACTCAGTGCTGAACGGCAGAACGGCGGAATATGCTTAAGCATGGAATGACGGAATTTCCTAAAAAAGCACAATGACGGAATAAATAAAACGCAGATTACCTTGTTGTATGAGACAAAAGTCTAACAAAAATGGAATTGCGATGAAATAATAAAACTATTTAATGGTAACAGACAAAATTAAAATAATCATGGTTAAATGATTATTGGAGCCCAGAGGACAGAGAAACCGTGAAGTTTTTTAGCAAGCCTCTATAATTATTATTATTACTATCTGTTGCCGCCATATTGTGATTTTATTTGTTGTCAAATACGTATTCCTTTCTTTCTTTCCGTCGCATTTTCATCAAGTTCGTTTGCTTTCATTGAGTTTGTTTGTTTGTTTGTTTTCGTCGCATTTTCATTAAGTTCGTTTGTTTCTACGCTCGATGTTTTCTACGGTATTCCGTTACCTTTTTTCGAATAATTTCTCTTTATTTGTATATCCGTATAATTTCTGTCGTGTAAAGTTTTAGTCATTCGAGCTTTATCATTAAACCGCGTTCAACCATGCTTTTCGTTTTTTTGTATCAAGTTAGCATTTCACCGGAATCTCATACAATCTACATACAAGTTTTTCAATTTCTTTATGTATAATTGTAGTAAGTTATTGTTTATAATTTTATTTTAGCAACCGCTCTGCCTCGCTTCGTTTTGTTGTATTTATTATATCAAAGAGCGTGTATCAGTTGAACATGTGCGAGTGCTTTTGGCCGCCATACTATCGTTATTATTCTTACTATTATTAATATCATTATTTGTCACCATTTAATTATTGCTTAGATGTCAATTGGCCACTTCATTTTTTAATCGTCTTTCTCATGTGGAATAGGGTACTCATAAATATCTGAAATGCTTCAGGTTTTCTGTTTCCATGCGAAGAACACTACCTTCTATCATTATTGTACAACCTCTATTTCTCTTCAATGCTATAGTAATGTGCTACATCAGTAGCCACATGCAGTCTCAGACAAAATGTCAACTTTCTGCATCGTTTGGGATTAATTGACGTGTTCTCGACCCATGAGCATGCTGAAATTTTTTCCCGTACATTTATAATTGATAAATCCTTCTAGTCGAAGTCTGTTTAAAGGTTCAAGCTGTAAGTACTGATAGTTTCATCAAAAGACTAGTCCCATTTTAACATTTCTTCACCAACGTGTATTTGCTACTGGGTCTCGAATCGTAATTTCATTTTGACTACTTTGATACAACTTTGGGTATATTTAGTATGCACAATAGGAAGAAAAACCAGCGATATTAAAGAATGACGTTTCGACGACTCCATGCCATCATTCTCATTGTTCAGGAGACTTGAACAACTTAGCATCAAACAACTCAAATGCGATGGAGCGATCGGATTCCTTCGGCTTTGTCAGAATTTTAGTCTCACCCCAAGGCTCGCTAGGGTGGATGAAACGAAATATGCTAAGTGGAAGCAGTCTTCGAAGCAATTTGCTGAGAATGTCATCATCGAGGAACTTTGCTTAAAGTCTCGGTAGAGTGTGGCCTTGAAGAAACAGATCAACGAAATCTACGATGAGACTCGTCAAACATGCTCATCCCTTCGCTATTTATATATCATGAAAACGATGGCCTTTCTTCGTAGGAAACGGTATAAGAAAGTCATGAACGACCATATTCCAAAAATCGCAAGGATGTTACGCAGAGACGTGGATGTTGACGAGCATATCCAGAACATATCATCCCATCAGCTAAAATTTTTTCGAAAACTTGTACTATGCCGAGGTCTCAAGTGTGCTATTCCTAAGCGTCAGATATCTGCCGTGGAGGTTAAAGCCAACTTTGAAAACGTCTACTGCCAACTCGAACCAACGATCTCTGACGACAAAAAAGAGTTAGCCGCAGCGACACTCCGGTCTATTGCATTAAACTACATTTAACGAAAAAGTCCAAGACCGCCTAGAGAGTTAAAAGATCCATCAACCAACTGAAGAAACGGGATGATATCATAATCTCGAAACCAAACAAAGGGTCAGGTGTTGTCGTTATGGACAGATCTGACTATGTACGTTTTTAAGTGAGGCGTCCATCAACGATGAAACGAAATTCAAGCCAGTATCCTTGGAAAGACCACGTACAAGGGGTACACCACCCCAACATTATCACCCTCTACTAGGAAAAGAGAAACATCTGGAGTCCGTAGTTCAAAAAATCTTCCTAAACATATCGCTGATTCTGTTCGCCAGAAAGGCTCGAGATTGGCACACCTCTACGGTCTGACCAAGACGCATAAAAAACGATTGGCGGTACGACCAATCTTGTCTGCCGTGAACACATATAATTTTACCCTTGCGAAATGGCTCGATGAGAAACTAAAACCGCTTTCGGTCAACAGATATACAATCACTGATATTTTCCAGTTTGCCGATGAGATCAAGAAGATGCGTTTTAGTGAGTGTGATATTTTAATATCATATGACGTATCTTCCCTCTTCACGAATGTGCCCCTCGAAGAAACAATAAACATCCTTGCTAACAAAGCTTTCACTGAGAACTGGTTCAATGTGACCTACAACATGAACATCAGCCGAGATGATCTCGTTGCCCTTCTAACAGCGGCCACAAAACACCAACTTTTCCAGTTTAATGGCAGGCTCTGCGAACAAATAGATGGTGTTGCGATGAGATCACCACTAGGACCGCTCATGGCAAATATATTTATTTGTTCCATTGAGGAGAAACTTGAAAGGGAGAAGAAACTGCCCTATTTCTATAGAGGGTACGTGGATGACACCTTAGCCGTGGTGCAGGACATTTCAACTGCTAGTGCTTTTCTTGCAATGCTGAATAAAGCACACCCTGCACTCAACTTTACCATGGAAGTAGCAATCAGTGGCAAACTTCCCTTCATCCGAATCGAAGTTATGGAGATGGGTAGCCAAGTTAGAGCATGCCTCTACAGGAAAACAACGGATAGAGGTCTTCTTCTCCATTACTAAAGCCATGTGGACAATAGGGATAAACGATCTCTTCTAACGACTATGTTAAATCGTGCACATCGACTCTCATCTTCACCTGACCTTTTCGCTGCCGAATCTGACAACCTGAAAGAGATCTTTCTAAAGCTTAAGTACCCTGAGAGACTCATCAACTGTGCAATCACCAGATTCATCGAGTCTCAAGACCGAAAACAGGCGCTTGAGGTTAATAAGCCTGTTCGAATCATAATACCATTTAAAGATCAACGGCCAGCCGACTTAGTACGAGGACAGCTGTCCAATCTCGCGAAGAAAATGAACAGCGATTTATGCCCAGTGTTTACGAGCGAGAAAATTGCTGCTGAGATCAAAGTGACGGAACCCCAACCACCTCTTGTTAACGAACAATGCATTGTTTATGAATACAAATGTCATTTGTGCGATGCAGATTATGTCGGCTATACGTGCCGACGCCTACATAACTCAGCGCATCAATGAGCACAAGCATTCTGTCATTGGTAAACACCTTCGGAACGTACACAATCTAAGGAAGAAAGATCGTGACCAATTCACCATCCTCAAGAAATGCCGTCGGAAGCTGGATTGTTTAACTGAATTTATGAAATGCTCTTCATGAAAGACAGAAAACCGACACTTAACACTCAATCTGACTCCATCAAAACAAAACTTTTTATCCGACAGTTCAAGCGCACCACCCTTGTATTTCATTCACCTATTTTTATCTTTTATTTGTCGTTTTCTACTTCTTACTCATATGCATTGAGACCTTCACACGTACTTTTTCTATATAATGAACTCACAAATGTATTTATTTGAATTTGAGAATGATGGCATGAAGCTGTCGAAACGTCATTCTTTAATATCGCTGGTTTTTATCCTTAATTGCTTATCGAAAACTTTAGTTATTGCAATGGGAAGAATTATAACTATTCGCTATTGATCATAATTACAAATATTCCAGTTTCCTTTTCTTAAGGGGCCAGTGCATGTGAGCAGCTTCACTTCTATCAAGAAGCCATTGGCTGGTGTCAGAAAGGATTAGCAGTATCCTTTGACGAATTTAGTAAAAAGTCATATCGCATATGAAGATTTTTGTCACTCAGGTACCTAAGTCAAAAAGTGTAAAGTAGACGGTTCTTATACGCTGTTGACTGTGATGAATATAAAGAACTTTGGTTACCCGGTGACTTGTATTTTAGACGGCTAACAACAACAGATTTCATCTTAAACAAAGCCTTTGCCTGGATGGGTGACTTTTAAACACCTCCGTATATCTACACCACTCTTCCTTCCCTTCTACTTACTGAGGAAATAGATTCAAGAGACAAACAAGGGTTTATAGGTTGACCACTCAGAATCACGCATGTAGTTTTTTCCCAAATGTGGAAACGGAGCTTAGAGAAATGTTATGTCACGAAAGGTTATGACTGGGAATAACTCTGTTGATGAATATACAAGCTTATATGGTAAATGCGCAGATGACTCCGCACACTTTTTGTTGCAAGTTTTGTTCGTGGCACCATCGGTGAGGGTGGACTAGTTGACATTGGTGTTGACAGTTTCCTGGTGAGGGCATGTGAGGGCGGAGGACTTGAGAGCTTGCAATGGTGGGGGTACTGGTAGTTTTGCTCGAGGTCACTGCTCCCACTGCTGCTGCTTCTGTTACTACCATCATTACCACTACCAGTGATAGAAGTAGTAGAAGTTGGAATAGTTCTGGTTGTATAACTTTTAGCATTAGCGCCTAATTTCAATTGCTCTAGACTGAACGCTGACATGAGCCTGGTTGTGTTTGAATTTTTATTGTGCCAAAAAACGACCCGAAACTCTTTTTACAAGTAAGGTCTTTGACTTGACCTTATAAAGATGGACCACAACAACAAGAAGTTACTTGATTTGTGGACCCAATGTGTTACTGAGTCAACTGATGGGACAGATGAATCAGGAAGTAAACAGGTAGTAAAGACTAACCGTGACAAGAACAGCGCAGAAAGCGAGGTACGTGAACAGTTACCACATTAAAATTTAATGAAAACCAATGCGTAACACGGAAAGGGGCGCTCGATTGGTTTGATTTCATGGAAGACGGACCAGTTCGACGTTTCCATAGATGTAAAAAAGTAGTCCCTATGTTTGCGATATCTGGAGTATGTTTAAGATCTAAGGCATTTTGAGAGTTGTATTTTGTACAAGGCATTTTCCGAGCATTGTCCACCTATTAATTTAACTCTGATAGTCTTTATTTACTATTTATAATTATTTGATTTATTTATTCAGTTTTCATAGACTCTTAAGTCCTGTACGTAAACCTCGCAAAACGACCACCGGGTCAAAAGATTTTCCACCTTGAAATGCCTAAAAGAGAAATGTCCTCAGTACACGCCCAGCTGGCACGGTTGGATAAATTTAGCTGCACCACATAAGCTCGCAAGCCCGCCTCATATAATTAGCTATCTACAGAAGTAATTAAGGATAGGTAAGCCAAGGGGTAAACAGGCCTTGTTTGGAATTTAAAATAGTTTTTTTTAATATGTAAGTACTATACTTCTATAGTTTTATGTAGCTCCATTACTAAATCATTTCAAACAATTTTTTATAGTTGCAAGTTTACAGATCTTATTCGCAAATTAGCCTAGTTTTTATAAGTTTAATAGTTATATAATTTTATGCAGTTCCATAATACTACACCATTTTAAACATTTTTATAAAGCTTCTAGGTTTATTTATCTATCTTTTCTTTCATGACTGACCTGTAAACTAGTTTTACATAGCTAAGTGTCAGCTACGTTAATAAAGTATGTCTGTATGTAACTATGTATGTTTGATGTCTGTAGGTAATTAAAATATTTCTAACTTCAAACCTTAGGATATAAAAATCAACAAACAACTATCTCAAACACCTATCAAGAAGGTCCTCCTTCATGAGAACAATTCGCATCTTTCTATTAAAGCAGGGGAAAAAGCTGGAGAGGGAAATAGTTACGGAAATCTCGGCAATCCTTATCATAGCCTAGGACTCTTCCAAAGAGCCATCCAGTATCATGAGCGTCATCTAAAAACTGCCAAAGAAGTGGGAGACAAGGCTGGAGAGGGAAGGAGTTACTGCAATCTCGGCAATGCTTATCATAGCCTAGGAGATTTCCAAAGAGCCATCCTGTATCATGAGCGTCATCTAGAAATTGCCAAAAAAGTGGGAGACAAGGCTGGGGAGGGAACCAGTTACGGTAATCTCGGCAATGCTTATGATAGCCTAGGAGATTTCCAAAGAGCCATCCAGTACCATGAGCGTGCTCTAAAAATTTCCAAAGAAGTGGGAGCCAAGGCTGGAGAGGGAGACAGTTACGAAAATCTCGGCAATGCTTATTATAGCCTAGGAGATTTCCAAAGAGCCATCCAGTATCATGAGCGTGCTCTAAAAATTGCCAAAGAAGTGGGAGACAAGGCTGGAGAGGGAAGGAGTTACTGCAATCTCGGCAATGCTTATGATAGCCTAGGAGATTTCCAAAGAGCCATCCAGTATCATGAGCGTGATCTAAAAATTTCCAAAGAAGTTGGAGACAAGGCTGGAGAGGGAGGCAGTTACGGCAATCTCGGCAATGCTTATCATAG